AGAACATAGATTCCATCAAAGGTTGCAGAATAGATGAAAACCACTTCGACTTAGAAAAAATATAGCACGTTTTACTGCAAACAAGATGTAAGAATTTTAAGAGAAGGTTTTGTAAAGTTCCGCAATGACTTATTGAAAGAGTTTGATTTAAACGTTTATGACTACGTTAGTATTTGTTCTATTGCTAACAAATTGTTTGAGAACAGAGTATACTTCCCGAATGGAAATCTTTATGACCTCTCAAATAAACCAAGAGAATTTATTTCGAGATGCATTCAAGGTGGAAGATGTATGTTGTCAGATAACATGAAACAAAAGAGCAAAAAGAAACTCATTGCTGACTTCGACACTGTTTCATTATATCCTTCAGCTATAGCAAGACTTTATACTTTAGAAGGTATTCCAAAAGTATTGAAGGAAGAAATGTTAAGCACAGAGTATCTCATGAGACATTTATTCGATGACGACCAAAAGGAACCCATTGGTGAAAAGTTTATGTCTGGCTTCTTTGTTCTCATTAAGATAACAGAGATTGGTATACCCAGACACTTTCATTTAATAGTTTGCGACCCTGAACTAAATCCAGAACTTAACGTTCCAAGAAGTTCAAACACTTGCTGTCTCATGTATGTTGACCATATAACATTACAAGACCTCATAAAATATCAAGGTGTCAAATGTGAAGTGTTGCAAGGATACTATTACGATGGAAACAGAGATATGAGAATAAGAGATGAAGTAAAGAAGTTGTTTGAGTTAAGGTTAAAGTATAAGAAAGAAGAAAACCCCTTACAAGAAATTATAAAACTCATTCTGAACAGCATTTATGGCAAAACTATTCTATCTCCTATTGAGTCAAAAATAACCATAGTAAATGACAAAGATGCTATAAGATATGCTATAAGAAATTACAACCATATAGTGAAGTTCGAAGGTTTGGATGGTTCAGATAAAACTATTTTCAAGCTAACGAAAAGCATTTGCAGACACTTTAACTTCTGTCCACTTGGTGTTAATATTCTGTCTATGTCAAAACGTATTATGAATGAAGTATTCTGTACTGCAGAGGACATGGGACTTCAAATCTTTTACCAGGATACCGACAGTATGCACTTATATAATGAAGACATCCCAAAGCTTGCAGCAGAGTTTAAGAAGAGATATGGTCGCGAACTTATAGGAAAGAACCTTGGTCAATTTCATAGCGACTTTGCAGAAATAACACCTGGAAAACAAAGTTTAGCTTATAAAAGTATTTTCTGTGGAAAGAAGACCTACATAGACTTACTCACAACGATTTAAATGAAGTTGCATTTCACTGCAGAATGAAAGGCGTGAAGCAAGATGTTATTGCTTTAACCGCTAATGAAATGTTTCCTGAAGCTATACAATGCTATTACAATGAAGATAAGAACATTCACATACCTGTTGGAACATATGACAAAGACTCTGAGTTCAGTTTAATGAAACTTTACAAAGCACTTTATGATGGTCAAGAGATTGCATTCGACTTATGTAAGTCATGTCAACCTTGCTTTGCTGAAAAGTTCAACTTTTCAATAACGACTAAAACAAGCTTTATTCGTAAGTTGAAGTTCTGAGGTCATTTATTTTTGTCAGCAATGAGGTCATTCGTGATAAAAATAAAGCTAGCGTAGATTTTACAATACTGCGATGGTAGAGTTTAAGAGTTGTGCTTCAATGTAGAGACAGTCCTTATGGTCTGGAGGCAAGAACACTGGACATTTATGGTCATGAGTGGAGAACATGTCTATCCAAAACTCACGATTGAAGCCAGTTAATTTATAGTATTTAGGGTTAGGAAGTGGTGAAGTTCTTGTATGACCAATGAACTCATTTTCAACGCCTTTGGCTATATTAGAGTAAAGTATTGCTTGCTTTCTATCCCAAATGCCAGGTGTTACAATCTTTGAAAATTCATTTTTCCTCGGAAGCATTGCATCATAATTGAAAACATTCTTAAAATCATCACTTGGTTCGGAGATTTGAAATCTTATACGTAATGGATTTTCTTTCTTTTTAGCGACTTCATTGAATGGTGAGAATACAATGAATTGACAGTCATGAGTTCCATCTTCATTTTCATTAAATTCATAATGAAAGTCTATAAGTTGTGGCTGACTACCTTCTTCTTTCAGTTGTGCAAGAAACTCACGTAAAGGCTGTAAAGTTTGTACTTCAATGTTGAACTTTTTCTCGAACATCTCATTAAATGAAATCATACATTGCAACAATGTTGTATCGTCTTTAAAGTATTTGTATATGTGAATGTTTTGGGCGCTTAAAGACTGTTCGTCATTTTCTATCTCGACTTGAAGTATAAAGTCAACCTTTCTGAAAGCACGTGTTATATACATAGATGTTATGCCAATGTACTTCTCTTCATTTATGTTCACAATCCAGTCTGTTGGAAACTTAAACGTTACTCTGTTCCCCTTTATTTTGACGTCAGGGTTTTCACTACTGAACGCAACAGATAAAGGTATTTGTCTATACATTTAATTCGGATAAAAATAAACCATTTACTCTTTCTTTGCTTCAGCTTCTTTAGCTTTTGCTTCTTCTCTAGCTTTTTTCGCCAGCAAACGTGGGTTCTTCTGTCTTCCAGCAGCTAATGCAGCAAGTTGTTTTTCACTAAGTTTTCTCTTTGGTCTCTCTGGCTTTTGTTCTTGTTTTTGTTCCTTCAGTTCGGATAAAATTTGCTCACGAATTTCTTTCTTCAATGCTTCAACATCTATGACCCCTTGGGTCTTGTCCGTAGGCTTGTCTGAGTCATTTGACTGCAGATAAAAAACAAAATTAAAACTTTAACCGATGTAAAATGAGCTTGTCAAAATCAGAGCGAGAGTCTATTATATTAAATGACGCAAGAGGAATACAACATCCTTTCTATTATGTAAGTCAGAGTAAAGATGGTAAAATATACGTAAGAAAAAGAAAGGTTCCATTAGCGAATGCAGAGAGCGACAACATTAAGGTGCATGGCAAGGGTGAAGCCCATATAAAACCTTCTGTTCAAACTGAAAAGTCAATAGAACAAGAAGAAAAGAAGCCAGATGTACTTTCAATAACGAACCAAGAGCTTATTGCAAAGTTCGTGAATTTCATTGAAAAACAAACCGAGTCAAAGAATCCTGACCCACCAGTGAAAGAAGTTGAGACAAAAGAGAATGTACAGTTCATTGAAAATGTCAAGAAACAACTTCCACCACGAATGCCAAGAAGAAGAGTGAGAATAATGAAGTAAATAGATATTTTTATCCGAAGTAAATACATGCAGAACGAACAGTTAAACGAATTTACTCCAGCAGAGCATATTCATCAGATCAGATTCGCTCATATTTCGATATCATAGACAATGCAGTTCAAATTTGGTGACACTAATAGAAAATATTTCTGACGCAAAGATTCCATCACAACCTGGAACTGCTAAAGATAACACATGGGTAACATTCAATCTCTCACCTCCTGGTGAAAATATGTTGGACCTTTACAATACATTCATTACGTATAAAATGGAAGGTCAATTTTTGCAGATAAAGAAATTGGTTCAGGTTCCAATAAAACAAACCCACCAGGATTTTGGATTGGTTTCGATGACGCTTTCTATGCAGTTGCTGGATATCAAATCCTTGCAAATGGTCGTATCGTATATTCTCAAGACAACGCAAGAGAAGAAGCATATATAACTTCAAACTCACAAACTACCGAACAAATAAAGAAAGTAGATGTTTTCTCAAAGACTCGACATGAAGATGTATGGAGTCATTCGGGAACATGCAGAACAGGACAAATTGTTAGTGGTCCAATTACAGCAGAAAATCATTTGATTTTAAGCTTCGTTTAAGAATTCCTGTTAGAAGATTCCTTCCATTAGAAGCTATAAGATTTATTCCTGCATTTGCTGGTAACATTCAGCTTAAAGTAAAGTTCAGTAGCGACGCCTTACAATGCACATCTATATCTGTAAATGATATCATTGCTTTCAATCCAACTCTTAAAGTTGCATTTGCTTCAGATTCAAATCCACCGACAAATAAATTTGTTCCATGGAATGAACCATTCACTATGATAACGAAGGCAATAGAAGCTAGTGGAACAGTTACTATTACAACTGTAACCCAGCAACTATTTCGAACAAAGATGGATTTTAATGAATGTTTCATTCATCCAAAGTCATTCTCTTTAGACCCTAACATTTATACAGAACTTGTAGAACATTATACAAACGAGGCTTTATGTTTTCCTGTTAAAGTTATGGATTGGATTCCTATGGACGGTTCATTCTCAAAGAATACAGATAGTTCAAGTGCAACATTTACAGCAGCTTATACGCCTATTAATGTTAAAAGTATTTGGGCACTATTTAGAAAGAAAGACAACTATTATGTTAATTTTGAGAACCCTAAGTTTAAATATCTTCAGCTTTCCATGGGAGCTTATGGAAATATGCCTGCAGAACCTGAAAAATCATATGGACCTGTATTTTATGAAATGGTTGCGAACGCTTGCAATACAAACAATGATATGATAGGATTTAATGAAGATGTTATGAGGTCATTGGTGGATGATGGTAGTGTGGAACATAAATGGGATAGCTATGACAACACACATTTCTTATGTGGTTTTCCAACAGAAGTGGACTTTTGCTTCCAGCAAGGTCAAACATCTACTGCTCCAATAACATACAAATTGTCTGTTAAAGGACCTATTGAACTAGCAACTGAAAATGTACCAAAGCCACTTATTGGATTTATGAGGATTGTTGCTTTGCCATTCAGGTGCGTGCTAATGGCATCCCCATAATAAGATTAGATGACTATAACTTAGCTACGGACGACAGTGAGAATAAAGAATGAACGTTTATTTTTAAAGCTTTAATAATGAGTTCTTCATCAAGCTCTCGTGAACCTTCACCATCTATGAAACAAACTTTACCAAACGATTATGGAGCACCTATTGAATATTTCTTACGAGCTGCACAATGGCAAAGAGCAGTCTCACCAAGGTTAGGTGTTCCACCAGCTCCTGTCAAAAATAGCATTTGGTCAAGTCCTTATATAAAATATGGTCTCCCACTAGGTTTGCTAGCTACAGCAGGAGCAGTAATGATGTTGAAAAGAAACAAAGCAAATGTTGTAAATAATACTGAAGTAGCTGAAGTTAAACAAACTCCAACACCTTCGCCAAAACCAACGCCTTCACAAACAACACCTTCAATGACTCCTGAACCTATGGAATTACAAACTCCTGTTCAAAAGTCAACTCCTAAACCGACTCCAACATTTAAACCAGAACCTACTCCTCAAATAAATCGTAAAACTCCTGCGTTTCCTTACTGAAAAAATAATGTTAGTTTTATTTAATATTAAAATTTTTATTTGATTGAAATGACGACTAAAGTCACTGAAGCAATGAAACAAAAATTTTTGGTAGAATACATTAAATCAGGAGCGGTTCCAGAAGGTTTTTACGTTCATACTATGAAGGATGGTAGAGTTCAGTTTAGAAAGATAAAGCAACCATTAGATAAAGAAGGAATTTTGAGAAAGATTAAACTTCATGAGGACAACATTGCTGAACTTAGGAAGAAGTTAGAAGAGTTGGAGAAAGGAAGAGAGTTATAAAGCAATGAATTCAACGGGTGAAAAAAGAGGTGAAAAAAGAGGTGAGATTTCACCACTTCACCTAAATTTAAATGGATGTTTTCATACGTGTGAGGGTGGTGATATCATTTATTTTTAAGTTTATTTTTATATAAATGACAGAACAAAAGCAACTCATTCGAATTCCACAGTATAACAAACATACATTTAAACATTTATTCTTCCTTCCTGAGCATAACATGTTCTTTCAAATACATCCGAGACCAGTTGACTTTTCATTGACTGTGTATAAAGATAGAAATAGTTATATCATTAAACCATACGATGACGAAGGTAAGTTATGTAAATTGTACGTTAAGAAGTTAGAGAAAGTTTATGGCTTCAAGTATGACTACAATAGGGTTAACACTGATGATGAAGATATTGAGGAAAATTTATGAGAACATTAGTGAAGTCGTTAGTGAGAACGATAGTGAGAACGTTTATTTTTTACATTAGTGAGTTCGTTAGTGAAGTGGTTGGTGGTTTTGTAAATATTTAAGGTTAAGTTAGTGTTGTCGTTTGTGTTGTAAAATATACGTTAACGGTTTTGTAAAGTGTTAAATTCACAAGTATTGGGTAAAGTGAAACGCAGTGCCGCCGTACCCAAGATAACCATACTAACTAAATTGATGTATCTTATAGAGAAGTACGCAGATACTTCAAAGAAAATCATTTCACCAAGACGCGATTAGAGCATGCCGGGCCAGAAACAGCAGTAAGATATTGGGCGCTTTCACCCAATCTTATCTGGCACGCAGATGTTCATTATTTTAGGGGTGTTCGTGGCCAGTATATTTATGGCATAATCGACGATTTTAGCCGCAAAGTCCTAGTGTGTATACAAATACCAGATATGCTGGCAGCGACGACAGCGAACGTTGCGGCTTCCGCCTTCATTGAATTTGGCGCCCCTTATTGTTTCTGGACCGACAACGGTTCAGAAAATAGGGGCGCCTTTCAAGATCTACTTGATCTTTGGGGCGTCCAATGGCGGCATACAGACTCTCATTCTCCCTACCAAAATGGGAAGATTGAGAGATTCAGTTAGTATACAAGTCTTGGGTATGGCGGCACTGCGTTCCACCTTACTCAATATAACCTTAAATATTTACAAAACCGTTAACGTATATTTTACAACACAAACGACAACACAAACGACAACACTAACTTAACCTTAAATATTTACAAAACCACCAACCACTTCACTAACGAACTCACTAATGTAAAAATAAACGTTCTCACTATCGTTCTCACTAACAACTTCACTAATGTTCTCATAAATTTTCCTCAATATCTTCATCATCAGTGTTAACCCTATTGTAGTCATACTTGAAGCCATAAACTTTCTCTAACTTCTTAACGTACAATTTACATAACTTACCTTCGTCATCGTATGGTTTAATGATATAACTATTTCTATCTTTATAAACAGTCAATGAAAAGTCAACTGGTCTCGGATGTATTTGAAAGAACATGTTATGCTCAGGAAGGAAGAATAAATGTTTAAATGTATGTTTGTTATATGTTTTGTTTTGTATGAGTTGTTTGTTCTGTCATTACATCCAAATAAAAATAAAAATAAAATAAAAAATAAACTTAAAAATTAAAAAATTAATGATATCACCACCCGCACACGTATGAAAACATAGCACAAAAATAAATTTTAGGGTAGAAGTGTTAGATCTAACCGTTTTCTAACCTCTTTTCTAACCTGTTGAATTCATTGCTTTATAACTCTCTTCCTTGGTTTCTTTTTAGTTGCTTTCTTCACGTCTGTCTCCAACTTGACTGTCTTTCTTCTTCGTCCGTAATGATACCAGTTACTTCCACCAGTCAATGGGTCAAATGGTCTTTCGTAAGGATTTCCATACATTCCATAGGGACCATACGGAAGAACTACTGGTGGAGAAGAAACATTTTCTTTAGTTCCATCGAATCTATTTAAATGCATTGTTTCACCTTTCATCTGGTCATTAAAGTCTTTTGCGTGTTTTGCAAACTCATCGTCCTTTCCTAAAGCATTTTCTGACTCAGTCGCAACCAAATTGGATGCTTTATTTATGAGCCCTATTTTATTTAATCTTAACTTCTTTGCAACCCAGCCTCCAATCTTCCCTTTATTTGCATCTAATGTCTTCGAAACCCTTCCTCCACTCATTTTATTTACTGCGTCATAAGCCCCAAGTGCTTTTGCTCCAAATGCTAATGCTTTTGTTCCCATTGCGCCTAAAGCTGTCCAAGCTACCATTTACACCATATTAAAAATCTCTCTTCAATATTATCTCATAAAAGTTCTCGTTACTGGAGAAAGTCAATGAAACATAAACATTCTCATTCATAAACTTCTTTCTTATCTCATCTATACGCTTCAAAATGTCTGAACAATTGCTAACATCTTCTACAACAGTTATTTCATCATGAATGACCTTCAAGAACAAGCTCATTTAATATGCTATTAAAATCATCTCAATAATGAGTCCATCCTTTCCATCTTTAGGTAGCACAACATCTTTCATTGAAGAAGGTTCGACAAGTCTTATGTTAAACTTACTGACAAAGTTTGTTATACTATAATGCTTCGGCGGCGAATACATGTAGTTTGAAAGACATAATATAGATTCTTCAGCAAATTCACTTATACTGGATTTTATAACAATGTTCTCACGAGACCAAATACCACCAATTGACAATCTTGTAAGCAATCCTGCTGAACCTTCTACTGTAAACGTCGATGGTAACATTCCACGAAGGTCATCTATTGACATCTTTGAGTCACTGAATTTAAATATTTTCTTAAAGCAATCGTCATTATCTAACCATGCAATAGCTTTGAAGTTTTCATTCGAATATACATCTGCTTCATTAAATGTAAAACCTGACTTCTTTGCAGAGACGACTTTAAAATCTATTGCATTTGTTTCAAAATTATATACTATGGTAACTTCTGAAGGTAATGGATGTCCTTCCGCAGTCAGTTGTTCTCTCACTACCGTTTGAAGCTTTGTGTTAAAAACTTTCATGTCATCTCCTGTGTCTAGGTTCACATACACAGCAACAGGAAAACTATCTTGCTTCTTTGTTTCATCATTATACCTCAAAACATTAAAGTTCTTCAATAATATTGTTCTTCCTGCTGGAATACTTCTAACTTGTCTTATTTCAATAGCTTTCTCACCTCCTACATACTCTACCCAGTGTCTTGGATATTCATAAGTATACTGACTTTCTTGAATTTTGGTGGTTTCATCATAACGTGTTCATAGTATATCTTTATACTCTTGTCAGTTAGACTCGGTGCTATGTTCTGAATATTTCTGACTTGCATTTTTAATGAAGATAAAATGAAGCATTTAATACATGACGTAGATGAAGACATGAATGAAAGCAGTGAAAAGCTCAACAGTTCTCTCATTCTTCCTTTCAGTAAGGACTATGAGTTCTGTTCAAATGGTGTGTATTTCTATTGTGGAAAGATGGGTTCAGGTAAGACATTCAACCTCATTCGTCATATACTCATAACAGAGCGTTTAGGAAACGACTCTTACTATGACCAAATCATTATATCAGCAACTTCAGACTCTATGGATTCAACAGCGAAAACATTTATGTCAAAAGTTCAAGCCTCTGTCGTTAAAGTTCCAGACAGTGAACTCATTGAATTTCTTCAACGTTACATTCGACGTAAGAGAAAATATTATGCTATTGTAGAGTTCATACAGTCAGGAATGCAAAAGACTTCAGAAGAGATGGAAAGAATTATTGACAAACACCACTTACGTCAATACTCAGGAGTTTACGATATGAAACGACTGACAAACTACATTCTGTCAAAACTTTCAAAATACCCCTTCAAAAAGTATCCTTCAAACACTCTGCTCGTTTGTGACGACTTCGCCGGAAAAGGTTTAGTGTCAAAAGCAGACTCACCATTAGCTAACATCATAACTAAAGTCAGACATTACCACTTAACTGTAGCAATACTTATGCAAACATGGCGTTTCCTTGCTTTAAACATAAAACGTCTCATAACTGACTTCGTTATCTTTCAAGGTTTCTCACGCTATGACATTGAACTCATTTGGAAACAGTCAGGTATAACATTACCTTTTGAAGAAATTTGGGAAGCATATAAGTCTCTCATCTCTCCTCGTTCATACCTTGAGATTCATATCATGACTAATACCATTAAAGTCAAAAACATTCCATGGGAACGACCAACATTGTTTTAAAGTTTAACCTTCAATTGACTGATGGTAAACAAATTCCATGCATCTCTGTCGCCATTTCTGTTAATATTTTTGCTGTCATTCATATCATCCACTTCCCCATCCGTTAGCTTTTGAGGATATGTGTTAGAATAGCTGTTCTTAAATGAAGGCTTTTCACCTTTGAGAGCATAAACTCTATAACTTTCTGCATACTTTATGTTTGAACCTCCTGAGCCATCATTGACATAAATTTTTATAGGCTTCCACCCTTTGTTCATATTCCTGCTTCTTCCCTTAGCTCTTTTGTTCAGTAGTTCTACATCTTTATACACAGCTCCTGTCTCAGTGAATTCAACAATATTTTCATTCGTTAGCTTTACATTCAAACCCTTGTCGAGTATATTGTTCATTTCATACATATAAAAGGTTTTTATTCTATATGAAATGAGAAGCAAATCCATCTTAGCTGGTGCCGTTAATGTTCCAATTGAACCAACATCAAATGTTGACTCACGAACGACAAACAATATTGTCATAAAGAACTATAGTTCAGAGTGTTTGAAAGAAAAAGAACCAGAACTTAAGTCGGGAGGGCTCAAAGAGCCCATCTTGGCGCATGGCGCCGTGAATTTAAACTCAGCTTCAAACGCTAACGCTACATCAGATGTTAAGTTAGAGTATCCACCACTGGACCAAATTCTTTCAAGAGAAGCCAACGACAACCCTTACACAAATGTTCAAACAAATCCTTCAGATAACGTAGACCATTACCTTCTTCAGTTATACCAAACAATTTTACTCAAAGACGATAAGAAGCTTTTGACAAATCTTATAAGCAAGAACCAAATAATTCTAACAAAGGAGGACCTTGAAAATGTTATCTCACGAATAACAGGGAAACAATGTGTCATTGACTATCTCGACCCTGAAATCGAATGCTGTGGTCAAACTCCACTATTCATGAAAATAGGTAACATCCGCATCATTGAAACACCAGGAACTACAGGAGTTGAGTTTAAGTATAAATATTCGAACGAGTATACAAAACTTCTACTTATAAAGCTTTGCTTGAAATATGTTTTAGTAAATTAAAGCAGTCAGGAGGGCTCTTTGAGCCCATCTTGGCGCTTTGCGCCGTCAGTCAAAAAAATTCAAGTTAGCAATTTGTAATATCTGTCCAAAACTTCTTCAACAGTATCGAACTCATCTTCATAATGCAAACCTAATCTTATTGACTTGGTGCAGTTTTCACTAACACAATATAGCGCTTTGCGCTCGGCGCCTTTGACGCCTTTTTCTGTTCTCTTGACTGGCATAACTAACTCATTTGTTTCATCAAACAGCAACAACCAAAGTTCATGACCTAATACATAACATTCATACTTTATATTTTTAGCTCTGAGTTCTCTTGTAAGCTGTTGCATTTAATATTTTCTAAAAAGTCAACTTCAACAGTCATTCGCACTGGTGCCTTCAGTTCTACAGGCTCTCCTTGAAAGTCAACAAGTCTGAATTGCATGTCTTTCAAATTATGAGGACTAATGCGAACCCATTTACCTAAATGAGTTGCTATGACAGGAACGTTTGGAATGAACATTGAATTGACTGCATAACAGAAGGATTTATATTCTACTGAACCTTTACTATTAACTCCTGAAATACCTGTGACATTAGCTATTTTTGACTCAACGTACAAACAATTACCATAACATACGTATGGAACAGATTTCATCTCAATCGTTTTGTCAACACTTTTCAAAGGAAATGTCATATGGTATGCTCCCAGAAGAAGTTGTACTCTATGACTCATTCTTGGTATCTTGAACTCTTTCTTTAACTGAAGGCTTCAATGCTTCCGCTCAGAAGAGAGTTCGACATCTATGTTGTTCAACTAGTTTCTTCATTTATCGAGAGTATCTATGACTTCCAACAATTTTATCTATGCTGTACTCGGCTTCTGCTTAGGAAATCGTTAGCTAACACTTCTTT